ATATGAGAGTTCTTGATGAAGTTGTCTTTGATATATGCAGAATGTACATCAAACTTTCACTACTGTTTATGATAATTACTGACACGTCATCTATATAAAAGCTATAAATATCATCAATGAATTGGCCATTCAATAATTTCTTGGTCTCCGTTGACATAGCTGGCCTTGGTCTACGTTATTAACTTTATGCCAGTCAGTTTGAAAACACTTAAAACAGTGATTGCAGCTCTACATGAATGAATCCAAGTTTAATAGTAAAAACAAGATCTTCCTGAGTTGCATTGCGGGAAACCTGAGAACTGCATCTGGGAAATGTACGATAAAAACACCCAAATTCTGCTCATGTTTCACCTCAGAGGCATGCCACCTGTCGGAAAGAAGGAGCACTCTGTGGCTGATTCCTAGTGGATTTAAATACATCTCTTTGCTTCCTCCCCAAAGTTGACCCTACATTCCCAATGAAGGCAAATTAAAGGAAGCAGGAGGATATTTTATTTGGGGCAGAGCCGCAAAGTGGGAAGGCAAGAACAAGAAACCAGAGTAAGTTATGACTTTGGATCCCAGAGAACAACCTGTGCCTTTCCTTCACCTCTCTCTCCCGTATATATTTTCATAGCCTCTCAGTTTCAGTTCACTGGTAGCCCCAGGAATGAATGCCAAGTGGGAAGATGTGACGAGATGAAGAGCTCTGAAAAGTGAAATGCCCTGGGCCCACTGTTTTAACCTAAGAGACAACTTCATTCACTTTCAAAGGCCAGATCATCCCAGGTATCAGCCCACAGGCAAGCATTGCATGTACCCTCCAAGCTTGCTCACCAGGAGAACCTGTGATGGGCCAGTGTCATCTCATCAACGTGCAGAGGAAAGGGGCTGGCAGTGGCCACTCAGACAAGGCCCTTGCCTGAAACTAAAACCCTGTTCTCTGGAGCAGGGGTGGACATGGGGACAGATACCTCCTCTATGAGCCAGCTTTGAAGTCATCCTTTAGTAAACATGCCTCCTGTCTAAGCTGTGCACACACCCTGAGCTACCACCCACACTTCTACCTCTACCACCCAGAAGAAACTCCTAGGGGGAATGGCTTTCCCTCACACTGAGGATGAAGAGAACAGTGGGGAGACCCATGACCTCCTGGTGTTGAGCACTGGGGACTGTGGTGATGGCTTCCCACTGCCACGGATCGCTGGTGTTGGAAGGGTCTGCACTGAGTTTGAACTGGCATATTTCTAAAGTCTTTTTTTTAATGAAATATTTATGACAGGAAATCAGGTTAGACATTCCTGAAGCTAGCAAGAGCTTATGAACACTCTTTCTTATCCTTCCTGGATATGTAAATGCACTTAATTTTTTGAAGGAAGACCCAAATACCTCATTCCTTTACATTTAACTTGAGCCATTGCAGGAATGCTAACATTGATTTGGAGCCAAGCCTCTGGTAAAAGATTATCATATGTGGGCCACACAGGAAAATTCCTCCTAGCCGCCAGAATTCATACTGCAGAATGAGCTATGAATAGAAAGTTTGTGCATGCTTATGAATATGGATAAAATGCATCACTCATGGCCAGGGAATGGCAAGCAAAATTGAAAACACATATTTTGGATCACATAATATTTTCAAAAATATATTTAAAAGAAAATAAACACAGATTGTGTGTATTCATTTACTGCTTGAAGTACCTTTGGGGAAAAGAGACATCAACAACTTTTCTTTCCAAACCATTTGCTTTTCCTTGTGCTCTTTAGCACAGGCTGGACCTTCTGGGAAGAAGGAATAGGGGTCTTGTAGAGTGCATCGTAAGTAGTTTTACTGGCAGGCGTTATATCCCCTTCCTGTGGAAGACAAGGAGTTGAGTCTTTGAGTATGCGCTGAAAGGACGGCGTGGCTTGGGGAGATGTGTTCCGCTCATTTCTATTAGTATTTGTTTCCTGTTCCTTTGGTCTCAGAAGGATTCTGCTGGCTTATGCATTTTATACTTTGATCTGTTTCCTTGCTAGATTTTCATGAACTTCAAGATTGTATCTGTGTTGTTAAGCGTCCGGATGAAAACAGAAAATTTGCCATTTCATGTCACACATAAATGTCTTGCCTCCAGCAAAATTAAGAAAGAGGAAAAAGTAGTTTTCATATTCACCCCACTTTGGTAACAACTTTCCATGATAGCAGGCTTCTTATCTTCCTATAAAGGACACACTCTTCTTGCGTTATCTTTATGTGCTCAAAGAACCACTCATTTACATAGCACAAAAACATGCCCTTTCTGGATTGGATAGCTCATTTAATTTTCCCCTTCTGGCTTTTATTCTCTTTCCCTCCAGCTAATTTTTCCTGCTCTCTTTTCCACCACCTTGAGATCCTGAGATCCAGTGAGATAGTTAATTAATCTGATAATTCAATGGATTATTCTGTTGTTGAGTCCAAGTGACATATTTCCATTTAATACAGTTACTCACGTTTATCAATTCCTCTCCCACTTGCTACCTCATTCCCTAGAAACTCCTTCCCTCAGGACATTTAGCTGCAGCAACATGAACCACAGGACACACTGCTGTAGGTAACTGGATCATGCACTGACGTGTGACCTAAAAACAGTAATCCACTGTCTGACCCGGACCCTATGACATCATCTGATACAAAAGACTCTGCTCAAATAGAGATGTATTGTGTCAACTCCCTTATTTCTCAGGCATTTTAATTAAGAAGTCCACCAATTGTTATCATCTCAATTTGCAAGGTCACAATGTGGAACCTGGATTAATGGCTGTGGGTAGGAAGGTTTAGGGTTTCCAGTACCCAGGTTCAATTCACAGGAGACCCAGCTGCACTCTGTTTTCTGATTTTGATTTTCTTGATACTCTGTCCCCATAATGGAGCTTTCATTGCAAGCAAGACATTGATGAGAACAATAATCATCTCCTAGGGATGGGCCTTAATCCTAGGAAGGAGTCTGCATTGTTCACGCCAATCTCTAGCTCTGCTACAACAGGACGTTTGACAGGATTACCCAGAATAATTGAGTAAGTGGATTACCTAGAATAACTGAGTAAGGGGAATAATTGAGTAAAGAGAAAATATTGTGGCAACTCCCTGAGTTGAATGAAAGTCTGTTCCTTCACTGGTGAAAACTTGAAGAAGTCAGTTTATGACCCATGGAACGAGAGGAACCTCCATATTACTTCCTATCCCTCCTATGATTGTAGCCCCACAGTCTGTAATACCAACTGTTGATTACACGTTGACTTTGCATGACTATTAGATGTTTCTTTGTTGACTTGTGGCAATTTCACCTGTATCAAATATCTCCAGAGGGCAGAGGCAGTATCTGTTAACTTACTTTGTGTAGTACGTGGCCTAGTGCTGCTTCCTGTGAGTGTTGAATAAATTCATTCTAAGGTGGTGGCGCCGACGTTAATGTTGATGTGTGTGATGGCGATGTTGATAAGCTTCAAACTCAAGATACGTCACTTACAATTGTAGCACATCACTAATTGGTAGCCTATTCCATTTATTTCCTATCTCCCCTGCAAGAAAGTGAGATCCGTGAAGACAAAGACTTGTTTGTTCCTGCTACATCCCAAATTCCCAGAATAGTGTCTTCTTTTTTAAAAAATCTGTAACAGCTTTATTGAGGTATAATTGATATACAAAGAGCGGCACAGATTTAATGTGTACAATTTGATGAGTTTGGCCATAGGTGAATACCTGAGACACCATCACCACAGTCAAGGTAACAGACGAATCCACCACCTCCTAGAGTCTCCTCGAGACCTTTTGTTTTTGTGTATTTTTTGTTTTCATGATAAGAACACTTAATATGAGGTCTCCCCTCTTAACAAATTGTGTCGTGCACACTACAATACAGGCACTACGTTGTGCAGTGGATCTCTAGAACACATTCAGCTAGCACAACTGAAACTTTAAGCCGGTTGAGCAACAGCTCCCCGTTCCCCCTCCCCCCAGCCCAGTGTCTTTGATGTAGCAGACACTTAATAAATATTTGTTGAATGAATGAATGCTTAAAGATTAAAAATAAAATCTTGAAGAGGAAGTAATTTCCTCTCCATATCCAAACGTTAGTGTTTGATTTACTGCAGACAAGGTGCTTTCTCTCTGCTGAGCCAGACCTACTTTTTCTTGACATTTGCCTGTGACTGCTGTTACCCCAGACTTTAATAAATGGCTGACCTACTTGGTACAATATTATTTTTTTTGATAATGTGGTATTTTTGGAAGGTACATACCTGATAATATTTCTTATCCTTGACACTGATGTGGTAACTAAAAAAATACACCCCAAATAAATGCTCTTGTTGCTAAGTAATTTGCCAATGTTTGAATAGGCAGCAAAGGAGGATGTTTTGATAGTGTTTAGAAGTAGAGACAGCAAAATAAACTCTCCATTTTCCTCTCTCAGATCTGCCTTTTCCTTTTATAAATAAATAATGTGTGCATATATATATATATACACACACATATACATACGTACATACACATGTAGTATATATAAACAGATAATTGGAAAGGACTGTGGTATGTGTGTCAGTTTAAGAAAGTTAGCATTTCCACAAAACTCTCAGGAAAATTAATTGAGGAAGAAATATCGTCCAAATTGCTTCAAGGTTACTTGGAAAGCTATTGCTATATGAAAAATGGCTTAAACACTGAATTCAGGTCAATTTTCTATGAGTTTTGTTTTTCCAGGAGAGAAAAACTGGTCAAGTAGTGATTTATCCAAAGATTTTTGTTCTCTGTTTTACTGTTGTTTTTACCTGAGGGAACATTTCTTGAGAACCACTCAAATTTCCACAACTTAGTGGACACCGCTCATTTTGCGGCAATCCCGGAAAAGAAAGAGAGTGGTCACATTTCAGACTGCTACAACACATCGGTCTTATTAAATATCACTGATTCCCTCCACTGCTTGGAAGTCAGAGAAGCCATATTGCTTGTGGCTGGAAAAAGAAGACTCATAAGCAAGTGAAAATGGTTTAAACCGGTTTATTTGTTTGTACAACTGATGCACAGACGTTATGCATCTCCTGCAAATATAAAAATCCTAGAGCATGGGTTTTATCATCTTTATGGCTGTGAAGATATGCAGTCATCTTGTGACCAGCTCAGTCTTGTCTTTTGGCATCAAAGGCATCAATACTTCATCAACTTTGACAGGTTCTTATTAAATGTTATGTTTATTCTATGTAGATAAGAAATAAGATTTACTCAAAAATAAAGGAAGCTGAAACATGCAGTTTGAAATGTACGAGAAACACAAAATATGTGACTCTGCCATTGGACTGCTCTCTTTTGATAAACTGCAACTTTTAGCATATGAAAGAAATGGCTGCCTAACAAATTATCCACAATCACCTAGGCCTGTTTATTAACAAGTTCATAGTCTTACCTTTCATGCTATTTTTCTTTTATTCTCTGTACTTTCTTTTCAGTTAAGTTCTGTCCTATATTTGTAATAGATCAGATACTAAAACTATCATTTAGAAGGTAGAAGTAAAAAATTGTCAAGGAATTCATCCTCCGAAATTTTCAAGACAATAATGAAATAATATTTCTTAGAGTTTAAATACAATAAAACCAAGACTTTCTGCATAATCACTAGACTACAACTTCATGGTGGCGGGAACATGGAAATCTTGTTTACCATGGAATACTGAGGACCTAGCACAGTGCCTGGCACACGGGAGTTGCACAACAAATACCTGTTGACAGACTGGAACATAAGAAATACGTTCCAACAGAACAGTCGGTGCAGGGGTGTATCTTTAGCCAACAGGGATGTCAAGCACAAGCGGTGTTAACTGAAGCGCCCTTCAAGGAAATGACCCAAAACATACATGATTCAGAGAAGTAGACACTTTTGAAAATTTTGGTAGAGCTTTCTACGTCCAACAACACTTGAAGAATTTTACAAATTAGAAATCAGTGGTTTGAATAAACCCAGAGCCTGAATAGCTATTTCCAGCTTTTCAAATGTGCAAAACACATTTTTCCTCTTTCGCTTCCAGGGGAGACCCGAAGAATCAGCATCGTTTCAGGGATGGTTTTCACAGCCTTACTCTCCAGGAATAGACAAGGAGTGACGAGAAGCTCAACAATAGCAACAACAAAAGCCAGTACACAAACGGAGGCTTCAGGTATAAAAGGCCGATGATTTATGTAAACCCGTCCAACAGCGAACAGTTTTTGGGTTACCAATCTCTAATCATACTTGGTATGAGCCTACTTTCTTTTTTGCAATTAAAAATTGTCTTGTAACAAAAATGAGGTGTAAGATAGAATGTGAAAGATAAGACTGATGAGATAGGCAGGATACACTAAGAAAACTAAACATTAATTTTAGAACAATGGTGATCCTTTGGGATGGATGTGCAAAGGTGTGTTTTGAGGCGTTTGAGAAGAGATGCAGGGCGAACACTCACACCATCCCTCTTGCCCAGTTCAGAAGTAGAACATTACCCGTTACCTCAGACGACCTCTGAGAGCCCTTCCAGAGTACCAGCTTGCCTTTCCTCCTCAACCAGAAGTAACTGTTGACCTGTACTTATGTCTGTTGTTACTTGAATCTGGGCAGGGGCTGCGAAAGCCCCAATCAACTTAGGATGTGGAAGTGATGCCATGTGACAACTGATGCTAGGTCACAAAAAGGATGTGGCTTCTGCTGGCTTTTTCTCTCATGACACTTGCCCTGGGTGCCCAGTCTCCATTCGTGAAAAAGCCAGGCACCTCGAGAGGCCATGTGTAGACAGATGTTCTCTCATGGTTGACAGCTTCAGTTAAGCTACCGGCCAATGCCAGCAGCAAGCACCAGACATGTGAGTGAAAGAGGTTCCGGCTAACTCCGCTTCCAGCCTTCAGTCTCCCAGCTGAGGCCCCCAACGTTGTGGGGTGGAGACAAGATGTCCCTACTTTCCCTGTGCAGACTCATGACCCACAGAAACTTCGAGAGAGAATTAATGGTTATTGCTTTCTTTTCTTTTTTAAAGATTGGCATCTGAGCTAACAACTGTTGCCAATCTTTTTTTTTTCGCTTTATCTCCCCAAATCCCCCGGTACATAGTTGTATATCTTAGTCGCAGGTCCTTCTAGTTGTGGCATGTGGGATGCCGCCTAACGTGGCCTGGTGAGCGGTGCCATGTCCATGCCCAGGATCTGAACCGGTGAAACCCTGGGCGACCGCAGCAGAGCACGCGAACTTAACCACTCGGCCACGGGGCTGGCCCTATTGTTTTCTAAGTCGTGTGTTTTGGGGTAGTTTGTCATGCAGGCATAGATAACTAATGCACCAGTTTACTGCATTCCACAGACGTGGTCTATAGGTCATATAGGTCCTAACAGATGCATGCTTTTAGATCCTGTTCAACTCATTTGTGAGATAAAGTAGAGATTTGTTCTGAACCCTGAAACTATCATTTACTTATGAAACATTTGCTTTAATAGCTAATTCTAAAACACAAACGTCTTTCATGTATTTAAGTCAATACTTACATTTCAGGAAAATGTGTGTGTGTATGTTATAAATAGATTTATATGCTATTATATCTAAGTATGTATATGTGTCTATACTATAAATGGAAATATATATATATGGACACACACATACATACATATATATATATTTCTTAATGCTGGTTTCAGTAAATTATACATCTTTTCATTTCATAAAAAGTGATGAATGCAACCTGCTTTTGAGTAAACTACTAATAGGATACATCTGAAACAAGTTGAAAAATGTGTTGGGTTGAGTGGTGAGCGTGCTGACCTGCGCACAAGATTGCGTGTGCGGTAAAATTCTATCAATACTTTCACGGGACGAGGTGGTCAGGACTTCCCCTTACACCCTGTGCTTTGCTGCTGGACAAACTTCAGTCACGAGCTTTCGTTCCCTGAATTTGGTTTTGCTGCTTCTGTTGTGACATCATGAATAAGTTGTAAGACATTGATTTTACAAATATGCTAACTACTGATGGGAGACTTAATATGATAAAATCTGACAGGTACACTTAGGATGTAGGGGCTAAATCACTATGAAATACTGTAATTGCAGAAGTCATATGATTTTTACTTCACTGTTGTGTCAGTGTATCTAAACCTACATTTCCTTGCACCAGGTATTGCATTTAAATGTAGCAAACAGATCTGGTAAGTGAAACACCACTACTTAGGTACCAGAAGATCCAGTTAGTGACTAGTGGGTGTGTGCTCTGCTGGAAGGTTTCCCTCAATTACCCTTGCTCTCCCTTTTTGCCCAGATTCCCTGCTGCTAGGCGCCGTGCCCTTCAGCCCGTTGTTGGGTCTCGTTCTGTTCTCTGATTCATGGATGGGCTGCGACACCTTCACCTTGGCCAGGTCTCGGTGAGCAAGAGCTGCCTCTCACCTCTTTCACGCTCTTCAAGATACCAAGTTTAGGGCTGAGAATGTATCAGGCCACGAGAGAAAGATTCGCTTTTGGCTTATTAGTTTGAAACATGGCCAAATAAAAATGCTTTTAGGATCAGATGATTACAATGATGATACTTATATTGCTGATATTTAATAATGTGTTTTGCTTGCCCCAAATCCAAGGTATTTTCTCATTGGTCTCACACTATTTATCAGAATGACTTTCTCACTGTAATTATTAACGGGTTACTTAGGCCTGTTGCCCTTTAAAAGAAGTGTTTTCAGAAGGGTTGGGGAATGGTAGACAAATTTATGAAAATATTCAAGAAAATATGCATAGCAAGCATTTCGTCGAGTGGTTGTGAATCACTGGGCCGCAAGCAAGCTGTGTTTTAGGTGGAAAGAAGGATTGGATTAATTAATCTGAGATCTTTTCCAGCTCTTAACATTCTGCCACCTCTTGTTGAGCAGCAAGGGCAAATCTCAGGTCCTGCTAATGAGCACCTTTAGATTAAATCTACTTGCTTGCGTATGTGGGTCTATAAAAGCGGCTCAACAGCAAGGTGGTGTTTTAAAAGCCAACTCTCCTGAACCAGTTCACAACAGCACAGGCAGAGGAAGGCTCCAGGATGGGTTCATTTTTAACTGATGAACGACTGTCTGAAAAACGGTGTTTACAAAAACATTCCTTCGCTGATTGTCTGCATCCCCTGCAGGGTTCAAGTGAGGGGTCTAAGAATTTGGGGAGGGCCAAGGCCGTGATGGGTGAATGAATCCTTTCTCACCATTCTAGAGGTCACCCTCAATAAGGCCGTTCTTATGTGGGAGGTGGAAAGGAATTTGATGGTGCCTGTTTGTTTTGGCAGCCTGGGTCCCGAAGATGCACACATCCAGAGAATGACAGAGAGCCATTTTTCCAGGCCAAGCCTAACTTGTGTTTCCATAACACTGTGGGAAGCTGCAAATGCAAGCCACACAGGCCTGTCCCCACCCCTGAACAAAAAGCCCTCTGCTTCCAGAGATACCGTCCCTAAATCACCTTTCATCCATTGAAGACTCATCTTAAAAACTAAGGAAAGAAAATACTGAAGAGATGGATTTTCATCCCAGTTATCAAGGTTATCAAGGAGATAAAGACTTTCTTCCTTAGAATTATCATCAGCATCCACAAGAGCAGAGGCAGCAAATGACAACTGAACATCCAGAGAACTTGTCTCTCCCTTAGATTATTTGAAACCCTCAGAATATTGATTTATCACCCTCCTTGATTTTCATGAACTTATTGTTCCGAGAGGCTAATCCAAATGGCTCTCAAAATTAGTTCTCTACCCAGCAATAAGTATAATTATGCTCTGTTGACATAAATCTCTTGAGTTAAAATTCTTCACAAACCACCTGTTCGAATCTCTGGATTCTCAGATTACAAGGTATCACAATATGTAGTTTAAATCCAGAAAGGACTTGAAGCAAATACATTAAAGTCTCTATACTAAAGTGTTTAAAAATCTTTTATACAAAATGTACAGCTGTCTACAAACCACAAGCACCATAGCTCATGAAACAACTGTTCTGGAATAAAGTGTTGACAGTCCTGTATTAACTGTTTCACCTATTTCTTTATTTCTTTTTTCCTAGCATACTCTGATTTCCCTTTTATGTTACTATTACTACTTGATTTTAGAGGCACATTACCTATGTATTCACTGTTACACTTAAACCATCGACGGAAATTTTGTTAGCAAAACATCTCTTTCAAACTCTGTTCAGACTTCTGTTAGTTTCAAATTAGTGAGTGGGTGTGTGTCTTTGAGCAGGGCTTTTTCTATTTGCAGAGAGCTATACTAGTCACACATTTTTTTTCTGAATAGGGCATAGATGCAAAAATCGTAACAGCAAGGCTTTCATCAGCACACTGGATATCATGTCAAACACTATACTATTTCATGTGCGTTAACTCATTTAAACTGCACTGCAAACTCACGGAGTTTAGTGCTATGCTTCTCCTTACTTTATTTATTTTTGGTGAGGAAGATTGGCCTTGAGCTAACATCTGTGCCAATCTTTCTCTATTTTGTACGTAGCATGGCACCACAGCATGGCTTGATGAACAATGTGTATGTAGATCCACACCCATGATTGGAACCTGTGAACCCTGGGCCTCTAAAGTGGAGCATGCGAACCTAAGCACTACACCACCGGGCTGATGCCTTATCCTCACTTCAAATGAGACCCAAAGGTTAAAAGTAACCGGCCTTGTCACAACGGGGATACAGGTTAGCAGTGAGAGAGATTTACACATAAGCCCTGAGAGAAGGGTGAACTCATTATACATGTTTGTGATGCCACATTGAATGTTTTTATTTTTTAAAAAATCCATGAAATACAGCTATTGCTTATTGCAGTATGGTGGACTAGATTTCCTGACCAACTTCCTGCTGAAAATAACAAAATGCTGAGTAAGAAGGATGCATCAATAATCTGGCCCTAAAGGGACAAAGAATTAGAGGGCAAATACTAGGCAAAATGGAAACTCATGGGGTCACCTGCCTTCTGCTTTCATCCTAAGAGTAGTCAGTAAAACCCGGTGGGTTCAGGTTTATGAAAGGAAAAGATGTATAATTTACTGAAGCCACGGATAATTACATATATATATATACACACATATTTATAGTATACACATACATATATACATACATATGTAATAGCATTTATATCTGTTTATAATGTGCACATACACACACACACACGTTTTCCTGAAATGTAAGTATTGACTTAAACACATGAAAGACCTTTTTCTTATAGAATTTGCCATTAAAGCGAATTTGTTTTCATAAGTGAATGATGGTTTCAGGGTTCAGGAACAATCTCTGTCTTGCAAATGAGTTGAACAGGGTCTAAAAGTCTGTGTACATCCATTAGGATCCATATGACCTGTAGTCCAAGTCTGCGTAAGGTACGCAGATGTCTGTCAATCAGGAGAAACAGGAGAACCTGTGTTCTAGGCCTACATAAGCGTCTTTCATTATAATCATCTCTGTGGTTGGTATAAAGAGACTTCTGTTTTGATTTTTCTAAAGATCTTCTCTACAACGTTATATGCGAACAAATGCCACATGCACTTTGAGTCTCTGAGGAGAATTTTGGTAAAGGATGTTGTTTTCCTGGGTAGGTCATAAATATTCCATCTCCACAGGAGTTCATGGACTTGTCTCTGCTTGATAAGTGACTTGAGTAATTAAAAACCTGTGTATGAGGACAGTGTTGTTACCAGTGTCCAAATTAGGAAGAACACCTCCATCGAGGGGCAATTTTCCTTCAGGGAAAAGTTTCATCACCTGGCTCTTGGATCTCATGCTAATTCCTCATTAACTATTTTTAAAAGGATTTACAATCAGTGCAAGAATTATTGTGCAATAATAAGTTTTCCTTACTTCCCAACAAACACAAATTCCTCACAAGACGCTTTCTCCAAAAACAGACCCCTGGTTTCTAGAGTTGAAAAGAATTTGTGGTATCTTTAATTCTCGGTTTTGATGACCTGAACTTCTTTAAACATTTGAAAGAATGCTACACAGAGTCTGTATTCAGCTCAAATTGTAGATATTAACTCAATTTTTGTTAAGCAAACGAAGAAATAAATATTACCTTAAGACAATTAAGATTTTGTAAATGTATGTTTTAAAGGCATATGTAAAAAACTTGTAAAAACTTTTGAATGATTTTAAATTTCTTCTTTCAAAAAAATAGTAGTTGGGGCCAGCCCTGTGGCCTAGTAGTTAAGTTTCATATGTTCCACTTCAGTGGCTTAGGTTCAGTTCCTGGGCACGGACCTACACCACTCGTCAGCAGCCGTGAAGTGGCAGCGACCCACATATAAAATAGAGGAAGATTGACACAGATGTTAGCTCAGGGCAAATCTTCCTCAGCTAAAAAAAAAAAAAAAGTCATTTAGAACATAAGTAGCTGAAGAATGCTCTTAGGAAATTGAGTGCCAGGAGTATAGCAATGAGAAAAGACTGACAAAATCCTGGCCTTCATGGACTTTCATTCGAGGAGGGGGCAGCAAAGGCATATATTATATAAGGCTGTATTTATAGGACAAAAACCATGTCCTGAAATTTAGTAGTGATTATACTTACTTTTTTTCCAAGGATAAAGAAGCATAGAAAGGCATGATTTTAAAGTATTTAGAATTCTTTTGAGACATTCCAGAGAACTCATCAAAAGACCTTGAGGTCAAAAGCTATTTTTTCCCAGTAAAAAACAAGAAATTAATAAAAGCAATTGTAATTACTGCCCGTCTATAAGAGATCCACATCTCATCCTGTGGCCCCACAGCTAGGCCTGCCCTTTGCTCTTCTTGCCCTTTTATCAATATCTACAGTCTTCATTTAGATTACTTGTTTCAATTGACTTAACCCAGAATTATGTTAATTTTTCAAGAAATTTATTAGTTATTTCTGTTAAATTACCTAATCATTTTGATTAGTCTGTTAACTGGTTGCTTACCTTACTGTCTTCATGACTTGCTCTCCAGTTGCTCTGCCTTGATCAGAACACATTAATCTGGTAGTGAGGAGGGTATACCCTTGTTGAACTGAACTCAGAGGCACCGGATAAGGTGGTTCCTCCACAAATTTGAGTTATTAATTGCTGCCCCCTCTGTTAACAAGAGTGAAAGACTGAGCTTGGAGAGCCAGCTGACTATTAACACTCCCAAACCTTTACAGAGGTCAGTGGTCAAACAAAACGGAGCCCCTCAATCTAGGGGAACGGCATCTGTGAATCTCTCTTCCACATCTGGATTTAGCTTGGTGCTCAGGTCTCTCCAGCTGCTGAAAAGAAAAGACTCCGAAATACAACACCGTCCACGCCCTTGTCCCCAGGGTCAGTCATAGGCTTCTGTTACAGTCTGATGGTCCCTCCTGCTGGTTCTAGGATGAGCCATCCAGTACATTTATTCCCCCAGGCCTTAGAAGAAACTAACTTTCGTGCAAAGGCCAATCCCAGGCAAAGAACTCACCTTGTCTTCCCTTGACGTGCAGCTCCCACCAAGGGGTCTGGGATCTAGATATTTGTCTGCCCCTTGCAGATCACGTACAATCTGGAGCAGTGTTGAGGAGACCGTAAACATTCTAGCACCATGGAGATCGTCTCAGAACTACACAAGGCTTCCGAACATCCTCTGTGATTTGGAGAGTCTGGGGTCAACCAAATATTCCCAGGTCTAGGAGGTGACCCAAGACTCAGGCTTCTTTTTTTTTTTTTTTTTAAAGATTTTATTTTTTCCTTTTTCTCCCCAAAGCCCCCCGGTACATAGTTGTGTATTCTTCGTTGTGGGTTCCTCTAGTTGTGGCATGTGGGACGCTGCCTCAGCGTGGTCTGACGAGCAGTGCCATGTCCGCGCCCAGGATTCGAACCGACGAAACACTGGGCTGCCTGCAGCGGAGCGCGTGAACTTAACCACTCGGCCACGGTGCCAGCCCCCCGAGACTCAGGCTTCTGTCTAACTAGCTATACAAACCGTGGCAAGATATTTGCCCCTCTCTGCCCTTCATCTGCAGAATGTTTGCCTGGTTATGATGGGGATTTATAGGAAAATGAATAAACAAAAGAGCTGCTTGGCTCAGCGTTCAATGTATTGGCTATTACTAATTGTTTTAGGTGCAATTTTATTCTGTGCCAGGCTTTCAACTCCAGAGTGAGTGTTATCTAAAGCCATGTATTTCAAATTACTATTCATAACACATAAAGGGGTAGTAAAAATAAACAAATAATTCATATTAACAAAGCAGAATAGAACAGCACATATTGAAGAGTACAGCATAAAATAAGTATTAGGATACTTACAACATGGTGCCTATAGTTAACAATACTGTTTTGTATACTTAAAATTGTGTTCAAAGAGTAGATCTCGTGTTAAATATTCTTACTACAAAAAAAAAAAGAGAGAAAAGAATTAATACAAATAAAATAAAAAACAAAAAACTAAGTTTAGTTCCTAGGGGAAAAAAATAAGCATGTGTCTTCTTTCATGAAAGTTTATTTCAGATTATTCATATGGGACCTGGTAGAAGATATATTTCGTAATGTGAATCACACTCCAAAAAGCTGGAAAAATACTAATCTAAAGCCTACTCTGTGAATGAATTTGTTTAGTCTGTTGGAAATGAAACTCTATTCTTGGTGGGAAGCGGGAAGTCCATCACGCAAAATACCAAATGGCCCAGCAGCTTTCATTTTGGTATCGTTGAATTAAACTTGCCAGGAGTTTGGTGAGTAAAAAATGGAAAAGGCTGTATGTTGTGTTATGAAGAGGAATTGTATTATGTGATTTAGCTTTACCTGAGCCAACGGTTTCACAAGATTGGCTCAGGGTCTGTGAGTTCATTGTGCAAAATCAGGTATTTTGTGCCAAATGTACCCCTTCCAAGAAGAAAGCATTAAGACATAAATCACATTACATCGTTGATTCAGTGAAGCTGTAGCAAGGCTGCCTTGTTGAAATAAGTGCAGATACACAGTTTGTGAATCAAAAAACGTTTAAAAAAATGAACAAGAATAAATCAGTTCTTCCTCTTCTTCATATTTGTCTGTTCTCACAAATGTGTTGTATATAATATAATAGTCCTGCTTTTTAAAATTAGCTTTAACTGATTTGTGTTAACTATATCAAGCCGATGAAGGGGATTCCTAAAGAAGTGGTTAAAACCAATTGCATAAACATTCTCGGTAACTAATGAAAACAGTCCAAGAGTATAGGGACCTGATTCTTTCACCTTTCCCAGCTCCAGGGAATTAAAGTCTCACATAACATGGGTTTAGTTCAGTGTTTTCCACTCCAACAGAAGTTTTCTTTGTAAGACTCCCGCAAGTAGCATACCGATGGGGCTAAAGGAATGGTTTTTTAAAAAATCTGTTCTGTTTTTTTCCCCAGATTTCTCAAATATATTAACTTTGGTTTCAGCTCATCTTTCCCACAGAAAAAGTAGGGGGGGAAGTGCTTGTTTTCCTCTGGCCTGGGCTGTGATGTTTTCCTTCAGTACAGAGAGAAGTCCAGAGGGCATGTGTCTGGCTCACAAAGACTGATCTCAGCTGTGTTTTTCGGTGTGCGGGTAGGTGGTCCCAGCCTTCTTGGAGAGGACAGTAGTCATATAATGAAATGACTCCAGGGACAAAGTACCTTTGTCAACCTACCATCAAAGGCAGTAGCTCTTCCTCTCCTAATATAACAAAGTTGTTCTCTTCAATGTTGCAAACCTTCCGAAAACCCCAAATCCTGTAGAGAATGGCATTCCAAATGAGTGCCTCCTTGGGAAAAACAAGTGAAAAAAGTTCTTGCAGACATGTGCAGACCACATCAGTGATGTATGAACCACATTCAAGTTTTAGGAATTTCATGTGAACAATACAAGAAGCACGTCAGTGACCCATGGTTATGGTGCAGAGGCTATTCAGAGAATCGCATGCCAGCCCCAGAAAACATATGGAAAACACCAGAACCACACAAGCTAGATGGTATTACACGGTGACAAGGAGTACAATTCTTCCAATTATCCCATTCATGGGAGTGAAGCCTTGATAATCTCGTGATCAACTAACTTAGATACATCATACTCTTTCACAGAAATCTTTCACGTGATTTATACATTTAGACATCTCTGATTATGCAAGTCGTGGCCTATAAACTGTTAGTGGCTTGGTAAAGGTACTTAGAAGTCTTAACTAGTTCCACATGGAATGACCAATTTATTAGCATATTTGTTTGATAATACGTTTCTTTCATCCTGTTTACTTCAGCTCCATTTCCGTGGATTATTTTTATTTATGGCAAAAAGAAGAAAATAAACTGGATACTGAATTCTTGGTTGCTTAGGCACTGCATGCATAAATGCTCAGTAAAGGATACAATAGAACCCAGTCGGAATCTGGGATGCAATCCCAAAGAAACGGTCCCTCTCTAAAGTCTAGAAGGGAAGACAGATTGAAACATGACACAAATAACATTTTAAGATGCTTATGGAAGGGATATTCCAAACTCATATATTTCTTATGGATGCTTCTATAGCCTAGTTAAAAGAAGCAGACAAGCCACACAGAAGTTTCTGGGCTATATAACTCCAAGAGCATAAAACATTATCTGCTATTTTTAAGCACGGGGTCACTATTCAATTATATCATCTGTAGTGGACATTATTACTATTATCTGTATCTTCACAGTCATAGTTTTACCTCCACAATACATTGTGATTTTAATCATTTCGTGACTAAACTTTGTCATAACAATTATTCAAATTTAAATACCAGTAGTTTCTCAAGTGGCAGTTTCGTTCTATATTTCACTGCAGGACTAGAATGAAGTTAGAGAAGAGTAGGTTCCAAATTCAATCCCCGGCAACCTAATTAACTTTCTCCTCTTCTGAGGCCACAAAAAGCTGCCTTGTCCCAACCAGCCTCCTCACAAATGGACACCCTTCGCTCCACTGTAGATCAGATAGGGAGTAAAGAGAGTTCTGTCACCAAGGCTGAGCACACCACTAGGATCCTAGGACGTAGAGAAAGTGGGTCCTAAAGAAGAACATTTTCACTTTGTTTCATTGATGATCAACAATCTAATGAGTCGGAGATGCTGAACCAAAAACACAGAGGCAAGATATGCCTATATAATTTATAAACAAAGAAGCAACTTCAGATAGCAGGCAAAAATGTGAGTATTACATGGATCCCTGAGAATCTTGCTATTTGGAGATGAGAAGGAGTTTTGCTCTGCCTCCATGTAACTTGTGATTGCTGTTTTTACTGTTTAGTGTTTTTTTCCAGTGTGTTTTTCAAAGATTCCAGTGATAAGTTTCTCTTAATGGGGATTCCACGATCCGAGAGATCTCATCAATAGGAAGTTTATCCTACTGTGGTTCTTATGTCTTTAACCAGACATTTTTGAGGTCTTAATGTAGTCCAACTATTTCTGTGTGGACCACATGAATTTTATGGGAGTCATTCCATTTATTTTTATTTAGGGAGGAACCTGTCAGGAATTTCTTTTACCACAGAGCAGACACTTTTTGTGATTATTATTTGTTCTTTGTAGAATACTGATGTGTTAGAAGTTCAACAGAACTGAGAATGTAAAGGTCTGGAGGAGAATTTAAAGAGAATTTAAAGGTTTATGGAAGAGAAAACAGTTTCCAACTTGGCAGTTGACAAAATGAAAAATGATAATTATGGGTTTGGATCTCATGATTCATTGCTATTTACACAGATACTTCAATTATTTCAGCTCTATTGTTTGGTAAATTTGGTAAAAATGAATCAATTCACTGAAAAATTATTCATACTGGTAGTGTAGTCCCTCAGAGATGAAACGGTCATTTGATTGACAATTATTTTTTCACTCTTCTATCATTCGTTTTGACTTTTGGAGATAAGAAGCAATCTAGAGTGGTGAGAAAACGTCAAGTCTAAATGGAAAACATCTTGTATTTTGATTAGGTTATTGAACATAGAGGCTAAAATATAAAGATATTAGTTCAGGAAATATCATTGATAGCCCTCTGTATAGAAGTACTGGAATAGTATAAAGGACATTATATTACTTATATCATTTCATCACAAGGGAAAAAATAGCAAGGAGGGAAAGGAGAGTTAAAAAAAAATTTCTTTCATCGTGATTTTCTGTGACCTCACATAACCTCTGCTCTCTGTATATTCATCTCCTCACAGACCTGCAAATGTCCTATTTGCTTTTCTCTTTATCCTTTGTGTTTTTGTTCTCTCTGCCAAAGATGCTTCCCTTTTCCTCTCTGTTGGTCAATATCTAACCCATTCTTCAAGTCCTTGTCCTTGCTAATACCTTCCCTGACTACCCTTATCCATCCTCAGCTCCACCTTTACTGCTACAAGCTGGAGTTATCCAAAATAGAAGAATGGCAGGCTTTGTTTGTCTTAAGACTTCAATAGATTGCAAATATCTTGTGAATCAGCCTGGTGATCTCACATTAAGTCACTCACTACTTCAAAGAGGCATTCAAAAAACACTGATGTGATAACAATGCAAGGGAGACAATAAGAAAGGAGAAGACAGAGCAGAAAGATGCTGGTAGAGAATAAAGAAACTAAATCTGTGGATCAAG